TGAAAACCTCTAAATAAAATGAAGAGCAGCACGTGTGACCAGCCAAAATAGCAGGTCATGGGCGTGTTGTGAACGACTGGGGAACCAACATCGACATGTGCTCTATTATCAGAAAAAGGTTTTAATATTTCAGTGTTTTACCATTAAAACTGGTTAAAGTCATATATAATTTGAATTTAGGGCTCTTTTCAGTTTAAATTTTTTTAAAGATGTAAACACAAATTTCATTTCAAAATATTCTTAAAATAATCTTTGGGATCAAGCCTGTGTTTGCACCTTTCAAACCTTATACTTTCAGTATCCCATATTCACTCGCAGCAAAGTGCTAAACCTTAGGCAGTTGGCCGGGAATGCATCAATAATTCCACTTCAGATAACCAATTTAGTTCACTCTTATTAACATTGATAATGAGATAAAAAAGATTTCACATAACGGGATCATACGAGGTGTATACGTCTTTTACTCCGACGAAGGAATAGCGTCCGAAACGTCAGTAAGTTTTTTCATCTTTTCACGGTGTATAATTTACCTTTTTATCATTACGAGGTGTATAACTAACGTAATCAGACAGGATGTTAATTGAAAAACAAAAAACAAAAAAAAAAAACAAAAAACAAAAAAACAAAAAAAAAAAAAACAGGTTTGAAAGTCTTAAGAGCAGGTAATATACCCCAAAAAAGTAAAAAGTCCTTGCTATCTCTTGAAGCTCAAATTTTTCAAGGAAATCTGTATTATGAAAGAAAATTATCTTCTTTATCTAGAATATCACTTAGTTAAATGTCGCCTAAGTTACTCATCCATCATTTATAATTAGTTACAGGCTTATTGTCAATTCTTATCAAAGAATTATTCCATAAAGGGAAGGACTTGATTTGCAATTTTGAAACTATCTTATCTTCAAAAAAAAGTTTAGACCATATTTGTACAATCTCTTTGACAAAAGGATCAGTTACTGCGATTGCCAGTCACACGCGAACAACTAGACCTTCAGCACAAACGAAAAATTGAATTTGGGTGGACGTCAATCAAAAGGGTTTCTATCGTTTCTATTGGTTTCTACACCAGGACTTATGTGAATACTCACATGAACATGTTCAAATACCATTGCTTTTATCTCATGCTTCTTGTCACTATGAATTTCTTGCTCTGGATATATTTTCTCAAAAATGTCACAGGATTCCGGCTCCGAATCTTAACGCTTGATTGCAAGGCTATCGCTATGGCTATGATTTGAGTTTCTTCAAGATAGGATAAGTCAATACTGATAGTTTGCAGTTAAACGTTTAAAATTCGGAGTCGGAATCCTTAAACATGTTTAAGAAACCCTTTTGATTGACGTCCACCAAAACTTAATTTTTCGTTTGTGATTTTAGTCTCAATTGTCGCAATAAAGTGAAATACTTAGTGTCATATTTAGCGAGCTTTTTTGCATTGCAGACTCATGTTACGTTTCCTGTTATCGTTATTGGTCTCCTGTGTGGCATATATTCAGTGTCGTTATAATTTGAATTATCGAACTAAAGGTTTCCAGCTTTAGAAATATAGTTTTAAAAGTGTTCTAACTCGGATAATCTGCTCAAGACATGGAAGCGAATGTAGATTTTTTTTCACAGATGGACATCCTTTCACCTTTGCGTAAACATGAAGACATAACAAAGTTTGGACTTTCAATACAGAAGTTTACTCACTTTATTTTATTTTTACATGCCTTTGCATTGCCTTCGCGTAGTTAAAACCAAAAATCATAATATTTCTTGTTTAAATTGAAACAACTTTTTCGCTCAACTTATATGATATAGCTCGAAAATCAATCAACCGGTTCTTAGAAATAAAACAAATCCGACGTCAAAGACTAGGCAATGGATTTGATTCAGTCGATTCTTGGAAAAGTACATATTCGATATTCTGAGAAACTCTCTTTTTTAAAGGTTTGATTTACAAAATCTTTAAGTAATATTTTTTCTTTTGATATTTCAAAAATCATCACGCGAATGCATTAGATCAGTGATCTTAYCGTAGGATATCATTTTACTTGAATCTTAAAGAGAAAAGTATATATTTATGGACTGTCTATGTTGACTTATCACTGAATTCGTGGCTTTAAGAAGAGAAAACTAGCTAAAAACTAGTGTGAGCTGCGTCGGTGTTTCTAATGAAACAGTAATGATAAAAGGGTAAATTATACACYGTGAAAAGATGAAGAACACTTACTGACAATTCGTGGCTTTGCCTCGCGAAGATAAATGCTAGAAAACGATCATTTTAGTTTCTGTTCGTCTGGTTTAACTGAACACAACTTGCTCGCTCAAATATACAGGAGGTCAACAGTTTCTGAGAAATGAAACAATTCTGACGTCATTGTTCAAATA